CAGTCAATAATCTTGATGTCGTCATACTTTGAAAACTCCGTCTCCGCATACTCAAATTGCCTTTCGAGAGGCGGCTCGGTCCCTTGGTTCACTTTTACTAATTTTCATGACCACATTTAGATGCTTGCTCATTGAATCTTATGATGCCGTATCTCTAAGTCTCTTATACCTTTCATTACCTCAGTTCAAATTCCACGCATTTTGAACTGTTTAAGGTTCACTCACGCGGTTATATTCTGCTTAAGACGTAGGGTCCTAACCTTTTCAAAGGTAGCCCGGTTATCATAAATTTATGATAGCATAAATCTAAATGACCTAATCTAAAGATGATTCATTCACCAATAAAGACCTAAAGTAAATCCGAGTTATCGAATCAAGACTAGATTATATATGTAGATATTCTTATTAGTCTCCACTTCTGGCCCGCCTGTCTGCCGTGGCCCCAGGCCCGCGCCGCCTCTGGCCCCGGCACCGCGCGGCGCCACGCGCACCGGGCTCCCTGGCCCAAACTCACCGGGCCTGGCACCGCCCGCAGCACTGAACCGCAAGCTCTGAAGAACCGCCAGCCAGATCCACACACCGGCAAAGCAACGCCGCACAATGCTCTCCCGACTGCCCGCGTCCGCCATGTCACGACTGCTCTTGTCCGCAATCCCCCGACAAACCGCATCCGCGCTTTTCCTAGGGCCCATCCGCCCGGCGGCTCGCCACCTCCACTCGTCCTGGGCCCGCACCCACGAAAACCCTTTGGGCCTTCCCAAGACCGGCGCCGACGGGCCCGGGATCCCGCGCATGTCGCGCGGCTTGCCCGTGAGGAGACGCATTGCTAACGTCGGCAAGGTGCTCTTGGTGTCGTCGGCCAAGGGCGGCGTGGGCAAGTCCACCGTGCTGGTGAACGTCGCCTTGGCCCTCCGGAAATTGGGCAAGCGCTGCGGCGTCTTGGACGTGGACATCTTCGGGCCGTCCATCCCCAAGTTGCTCCGGTTGCAGGGCGAGCCGCGCCTCTCCTCCAGCGGCAAGTTGATTCCGCTCTCCAATTACGGCTTGCCGTCCATGTCCATGGGCTACTTGGTGGCGCCGGAGAGCCCTGTGGTCTGGCGCGGCCTCATGGTGATGAAGGCGTTGCAGCAGCTCTTGTTTGAGGTCGAATGGCCGGCACTTGACTACCTAGTGATCGACATGCCGCCGGGCACGGGCGACACCCAGCTCACAATCAGTCAGCTGGTGAAGGTGGACGGCGCCTTGATCGTGTCGACGCCACAGGACATCGCGCTCATCGACGCCGTCAAGGGCATCGCCATGTTCGAGAAAGTCAGCATCCCGATCTTGGGACTCGTGCAGAACATGAGCCACTTCGTGTGCCCGAACTGCCACCATGAAGCCCACATTTTCGGCCTGGACGGCGCCCGCAGAGCAGCCCTCGAGCACGGCCTCGATGTCCTTGGTTCCATCCCGCTCCACGAGACCATCTGCGTGCAGTCTGACCTGGGTGTGCCTGTGGTGGTTGCGGGCGGGGACCCGCTGATCCTGGAACCGTACATCGGCATCGGCCGGAAAGTAGTGGAGAAATTGGGCTAGGCGAGAAGCGTGGCCTTCACTGGGCGTGCTGTGGCGACCCGCATCCCAGCCATCCCTACCACCCATGACTTCTTTTGATGGGGCCGACAATCATTTTCTCTCCCGCCGCGAATGGCTCCTGCCACCGTCAAAATGTGCTCGGGTCAGTATGAGCTTGGATGCTAGCCCAATTTTCCCCAATGACAACACTGCGCTTTCGGAAGGCTGGGAACGAGAGGTCCTGCAACAGGTGCGCCTCCGAAATTCGTCGACTGGAATCTTCCCCGAGCTCTAGGGTTGCAGTGGCCTGTCGAGAAAACACCATCGAAAGTTGGGGAGCAAAGCATGCCTGTGACCGCTCCTCCCCTCACCATAGTTCATGAATGTCCCCCAAAGCAATCAGTGTACTTGCGTCACAATTCTCGCGGTACGAAACTTGCAATGCACCTGTCAATCACCCTATATGTCCAGTTCGTTCGGAAGTAGCTAGAGAGTACGATATGAAACATTTTTAAAGAAGCTTGGGTAGTATACACTGGTCAACACGGCCGCGATCATGGCCAGATCCTCATAGGAGAATGAGAAACAATGCAAATATAACTGCACCGATGATGGAGGGGTATGCCTCAGCCAGGCTTGGCGCTTCACTAGCCACGCGGTGCGTGAAAGGATTGTGAAACCTTTCATCCAGCTTAAGCTTATGCAACTTCTCAGAGGCCCATTTCAAGAACGACTTGTACTCTGTCCTCGTAGAACGTGTGGTGTTTGCGGTGGGTGGGATCGTGGGGGTGATACTGGTCGACAACGAAGGTAGAGATTCAAGGAACGTTTTCAGCGCTTCCCTGGGTTCATCTGGACTGCTGCCCAAAAACACATCCACATCAACTTCATCGATATGTCTGAGGGGCTTGGCGCCAATAGCAGGCTCAACCGGCTGTGCGGAAGTCTCAGAGTCCTCTAATGGTGAGCCACTTGGTATAGGCCCTGGCAAATTTGCCCTCTTCAATTCTTCCAGTAATCTGGCCAAGAGAAGATTCGCATCTCGCTGACTGTCTTCGTCGCTAATAGTTTTACCTACTAAGCGCTGGAGCTCGGGGTAGATGCGTTGGAAGTATGTCATTAGATTCTCATCGGACTTGCGTTCCAAGGATTGAAAGTATAACTCACGAATGTCCGACAATGATTGTTGCGAGTGTTTGGAAGTATGCTGATAATCTCCTTCGGAATCCTCGACACTGTCGGACTTGACAACTTGCGCATCTTCGGATTTGGCAGCTTGGGTCTCTGGAAAAACTTCTTTTGGCGGGGTTGAGGTGTCTTCCTGTAAGTGATCTTTCGGATTCTCTTCCGGTGGCGGCTTGGTGGTTCTGGTCACGTTTCTTTCCTCGACGTAAGTTTTTGGTCTGGGCTTTTTTCTCAGTCTTAAGATATCAGCGGACGGAGACCGGAATTGATTGGCCATGTCGAGAACGGATTTTAAATTGGCCTTCCCCTCGGCAGATTTAGTGGGAGGGATGAAATCTAAAACCTCCGTTGGCTCAGAGGCGGATGCGCCCGTTGGTAAATTGTTCACTAATATAGTACTTGTTGGTGTCTCTGCAGGTGTTACTGTCACGGTATTTGGTGTAAAAGTGAAGAGTTCGATTGTGTTGGTGACTTCTGTCTGTGTGTTTTCTTTCCAATCTGGAAATTCAAAAGTACCGGAAAGGTTCAGCTCGTTCTTGAGCAACTGTTTCAAACCGTCTACCAAGAGTGACGGGAGCCTTTCGTCTTCAAGATAGTCTTCGTTTCCAGAGAGATTGTCAGCAGAAAGTTCATTTTTGGTTTGTGTATTCGATAGTTTGTCTGTTTGTGGAGCTTCCGTTTCAGGTGACTCGATGTTTGACTCCTCCATGGGCTCTTCGAGATTGTTTTCATTTGGGCTGAGTTTTGCAGCCTTTTCCAGGTCGTCCATTATATGCTTTTTGATATTTTCTTCGGTCTTTGAATCGGAATCTGGTACTGTTTCTGTGTGCTCAGGAGACAATTCAAAAGCATTATGTGTAATTTCTTCTTCTGTAGAGCTCTTTGTCTGAGTGGAGATTTCCTGCTTCGCCAGAAGCACAGGAATCTCGTGCGCTTCGGACGGAAAAAAAGGCAATATTTGAAACTCTGGATCGGCATCTGGCTCTAATGTTTCTTCCCTTTCAGGAAATGTTGATATTTCCTGATTCAATGACAGGGGTGCTTGGTCCTTGTCCCGAAGAACTTGCCGAAATATGGCTAAGTGGTCCCGTACTGTGTCCTCTGGGGAAAGCTTTCTTGTCAATGATGCCGCTGAGATTGCCGAAACCAAAAACGGCACAGCTTTGAGAATACACTTCATGACAAAAAATGATTGTATCTTGTTATGTGGCACAACAAACGCGTGGAGAAGCGTCTTGTCTAATATTCCTGGGATTGTTGATGAGAGACTCGATCTAGAAATCTTGACTCTTGATTTAAAATGCCGTTTTGAAATATTTTTCAGGCTTATGTAGTACCCGCTTACAACTTCGGTCTTCAGGAAGAACGTATGAATTAGATATCTCGCAGTTCACAGGAAAAGTTGCAAACTGGTGGCTGCGGGTGCAAAAAAGAGAAACACAACGGTCGCACCGTGTTTGAGTAATGTTGAACAGAGCAGCAGAGAAGAAACATAAGTGACATAAGGATGTCTGAAATTCCATTATGATTAAGTTTTTTTAAAAAAAAAATATTCATCAAAAAGACTATTCTCTTGAAGAGGGAGGTATACTTTCGGAATGAAAAAGGCTATCAAACTCGTGGCGAAATCATACATGTGCCCGGGATGGAA